TCTGGGTGTTATATTGTACTTTAACAAGGAGGCTTCCATCTCGCAATATACCGACAAAATCAAAATCGTCGTCTATTTGATCATCAAGGACCTTTTTGACGATAAAGGGGTTCATAGTGTAGTAGGGCCATTTTGGGGATCGGAGAAAATCACTCACTTGATTCTTGTAGGGGGTCTCCTGGGACACCTTTTTAGCAAGGGTGGACATGCTGAAACCCGGCAGTAATGAAGCTATTCAGTGTTTTGTCTGAAAAGTCAGCACCCTCGGATGCATAAAGAAATTGGGGGTATTGGCAAATGCATTCATAATATATTTGGCAGGGCTGTAGCTAATGGTAGGGGTGAGGCAAGAGGCACATGCCCCCCAGGCGTTACGAAAAATGTGTATTTCATGCAAGTATTAGCCAAAGATTTGTAAAAATAAATAAATAAATAAAAATAACTACTCCATGTGATTTATTACATCCTCATCACCAAAAAGAACTAGCTATGCCTCTGTTTAGAAGGGGACTGCAACACATTTTTGTTTAAAACTGGTAGAGTAGGCCTAAATGCCGATGGGGCTATCTCGCGCATCGGTATGAAAACAGATGGACGGTATATTATTTCTAACCACCACTTTTCCCCTAAGTTTCTTTAACATGGGGCACTGTTTAACTTAAGTTTAGCAATTTCTTTATCTTTAGCTGCAAGCTGTTGACTGACATTATTTGCACTAGGATTGACATTAGTTACTCTGAAGCATAGGAAGTATCGGGTTTGTGTGTCATGCCCCAAGAGATACGTGATGACCTGCTGCAGTTTGAAGCAAAGTCCGCTAATCTGTATGAAAATTTCCACTCAGAAAGACGTTACAAAGGAGAGGGCCTTATTTGAAACAATCCATAGAAATTACCTTAAAATATTTAAATCAAACACGGCAGGCAAAGGAACTGGTCAAGCAAACACAACAAATTGTAAGCAGCAACTAGCTGAGACTCTTCGACGTTGCCTGCGTCCGCAACTATGACATCGAACACCTGCTGCCATTTGATATATTGGAAAACGGGTATCTGTTTAATGAGGAGAGTCTGATGGTTAAACCAAACAAAAGTGATTTATGTAATGGACTTTAAAATCTCTGCCAAGATGTGCATTTTCGCAGAATTTTTCAAGTTGATGGGCCACAAAACCTGCAGGACGTTGGCAGCTCTTCATCACCTTACTGGATGTGATTCAACCAGCTAGTTTTAAAAACTTTCTTGGTATCTGCCCTGTATTAATACACAAAATATTTAAGAATACATAAAGATTTTCCATTTCAGGTATGATGTCCAAGTCAAAAGGCCCTATATTTGAGACTGGTGTTTAATTTCACCATTGTTTGACCTCTGGTGACCTTGACCTTTGGTTTGAGTAATCATACATGACTATATGTTGTTCAGTTCAAAGATTATTGCTATTCTAGTTTCCCCTATCCCCAATTTTTATGCATCCGAGGGTGCTGATTTTTCAGACAAAACACTGAATTGCTCCATTACTGCCGGGTTTCAGCATGTCCACCCTCGATAAAAAGGTGTCCCAGCAGACCCCCTACAAAAATCAAGTGCGTGATTCAAGAGCACTCTCGACCCCCAAAATACCCCTTGGCTCCATGACTAATGTTCAAAAGCGATTGATTTTCATTTACACATTTAATATTCGCAAACATTGCATTCTCTGGTGGGTTTTTGAAAAGTGGTCTTCTGGGTCTGCCAGTAGTAGGGGTTCGCGTGTTCATAATCGAGTTGGTCGAAGATCGGTCATGGGTCGCCCCTTCTCTTTGAGTAGAAACTGGGGCAGCATCCATCCTGGGTTGCAGACCAAGTCCGAACTTTGGCTTAAGGCCTTTCTCCTGAAGGGATTAAAGGTTCATAAATCTTGGTATCAACCTAACAGCAACAGCTAAGAGAGTATGGCAGATTTCCGTCCTCTACCCCTTCAGTAGAAGCCTGATTGCATTCTCCTGTACCCCACAGGGATCGATATATGGAGGGCATTTCGTTACTGCCAATCTTGCCAAAGCGAAGGACGGTAAGCACATGCCCACCCCTTAGCGAATACAGGAGCCCCAAGGGAACTCTGATAGGCTCAGGAGAGCCATATTATAGATGGAAATATATTAGACTAGAGAAAAAGTGCGTCCAAGTGATGCCCTAGACTACTAGGCCTCCCTAACCAGGGGTCAAAGCCTGCAAAGTCTGCCCTGAGGTAAAAGAGTGTTGTGGGTTTTGGGCGTTTCCTATTTGATAAAGGCGTTTCCCACCTAAAAATTATGTGGCCCTAAGGGTCCGGCCCTATTCTTTGCCTCGGGGCCCTGGCCACATAATGGCGGCCCTGCATATGCATACATACACCTTTAGATACATATGTATATAGGTATTTATATATATATATATATATATATATATATATATATATATATACATTTTTATACACATGTATATACATACATGTATGTTATGTGTGTATGTATATATTAACATCCCCCAAGGTCGAATGGTATACTTTACATCTGACCCTAGCAGCTGCATTCCTGTACCAAGTTCCTGCTGAGCCGACACAGATATCCGGACTACTTTCACTTTTGACACTTCTGTGGCGAAAGTTGGCATCTGCCCTCGAAAGGAGCCGCCCCATAAAAGGACATGTCTGCTCAGACAAGCAACAGAGACAGAGACAACAGAAAAACGACAACACAAGTGGGTCTAGTTTGTCACCTCTCCATCCTCAGCACCCGGGGACATGAGGTTTCCTTGGGATCTTGCATCTACCATCATCAATAAACCCACAAGACTAAGGTCACTCTCTCATTCATATCTAGTGGCTAGTGCTGATCCTACGTTCACATCTGGTGGCAAGCGGTGTTCTTCCGTTCACATCTGATGGCCAGCAGTGCTCTAACCTCACAACTCCAATTCACCGACGCTTTGTTGCCGATTGACAATACAAGATGCCAAGATATGTTCCTGTTAAAGTCACCTCCTCACCTCCCTTAAAATCCAGCCATCGCTACCATGTACTCTTCTGATACACACCTACTCGCATCATGTCTACCTTACTACATCGTGTTAATCACTCCCCACATACTCGCACCATGTTTACCTTACTACTTTGTGTTAGTCACTCCCGATAGTGCTACCTTCCTGACAAACTCACTGAAGATACATCCTCACACTATGCCGCCATACTCATCAATTCGGCTCATCTGCCTTGCCAAATCTTTGCGAATAATCATCAGCTCAGCCATGGAGTCTCAGGTCTATCCGCCGCCACCAATACGTCCTCGCTACTATTGAGTGCCTATTAACTCCAAATTAACTATTGCTCTCCTTAGACTACTCTTACATATGATACACATTACCCCCACGCACTACTAACTCTATATTACATAATTTCTCGCGGTCATTTTTTTTTCTTTCTTTCTTTCTTTCTTTTTCATTGCGACAAACAAACGAATCATACACTGAGACTGAGCACAAAAGACACCCACCCATCCTTACATCATGCCTCATTAGGCAGCCCCTAACCATTCCTTTATTGCTATATTCTTTCCGCTACTAGTGGGTTTTTTTTCTATTGATTATCATTGTTGTCCTCACATTGCATGGTTCATTATATTTAGTTTCTCTCAAATGATAAGGTTTATTCAATTATTGATATGTTCAATTGGTCCTCTATTATTCATATCTTCTGCTGCAATTTTCTTTTTTAACAGTATATTTTCACCTGCATATTGTATCACTACTAAATGGTTTGTTATTACTTCTGTGACTATGGGCATACCGTTACATCTTTCACAACACCTGTGCTCTATTTCTTTGCCCATCTACTTGACCGCTCTAAACGGAATTCACTCTAGGAATTTGAACCGTGCTAAATGCCTTCCCTTTCATGGCGTCATCTCGACATTCAATATCTTATGCTCAGTAATGCTAGAATGCTTCTTTGATTAAAGGTTCTGGTGGATTGTAACATGTAACTAACAATGAATTTAATTTTATGTCCGACTCACGGCTGTAAACAATGGGAATTTGCTTCCCGATGTTCCGGTTGATGTGTAACACATAACTCACAGATGGAGTCTATTCTGATAATGATATACTTGTCAGTAACCTTACTAGGATGCCAGAAGTATGAATGTAATAAGTTGTCTCAAGAAGTGAAAATTGTTACATCAGGTATAATTACTTAAGATTTGTTGGAATCATATTGCGAGGAGAAAAAATTTATTTGATATGAATATCTTCAGTTTAATTAGTACTTATGCTTCCTACACATAGAGGCAGCTGGGCCAGAAATTAAGTCTAACCATGAGTCTTGGGCGCTTCACAATTTTAATCCTTGTGTGCAAAGTTTGTGTAACCTCATTGCGGCAGGACGTTTACATCCATGACCCAGGCTAGAAATCAACTTTGGACACAGAAACAGCTTCGCCAATACTTAATTCTAACTGTGCGCTTCTCAGACACGCAAACCCTTTCAGTCCAGACTATGAAGGACCTATAATCCTTTTGTACAAATGCATCAGTCTTCATATTTAGTTATCCATATCACATTAGCTACAGCCTTGTTTTCACCCAGTCGATCAGTTAGTTCAGTGAAGCAAAATATTCCATAGCCATCTATTTGAACCCACAACCGCCTACTATAGTTCGTTTGATGAGGCTATCTTTCTCTCTCCCTTCCTTTCCCCGGTCTCTCTCTCTCTCCTCCCTCTCTCCTCTCTCTCTCTCTCTCTCTCTCTCTAAATTCATATAAATTTCATTAAAGTACCAGATATTTATTATTAAATATTTGTTTACTGTTGGAGCTTTACAAGGTCAGGCAATTGTGCTCAGAATTAGTACACCAAAGAAACAGAAATTACAAGACATATTCTCTTCCATATAGTATAGTCCCAGAATAGGAAACGTTATAAGTGGTTCATGGGATTTTGGGCTCAGATTTGTGCATCTAATCATAACCATAAACTCGTGAAG